ATTTACATTCCTCCTGCCTTTGTTCCTGTCACATGTAGATTTAATACTTAACACAGACAAGTCATCTTTTGTTTTTGAAACAGCTCTTCTCTGCCCCTCTTCTCTCAGGTAAGCCAAAACAGGAGGCAGAGTTTCAAACTTAGAAACATAGGTCTCATCCAACTTTTTCAACATTTCTCTCGCAGTTTGGCATTTTAGCATTTCTCTATGGTCACGTGGACACAAAGATCCCATCATAAGGGCCATCGCCAGCTCATCGTTAGCAATATATTTTTCCAACTCTTCCTCCCCCCCTGGGGGTGTCAGAATCAATCACAGAAAGAGCTGAGTGTGATTGAAGAACATTTTTAACGCATCTCAGCCACCAGTCGTAATTATTGTTATTCAGGGATGGGATTTTCAAGAATGCTAAATCCCTGTTAGCAGACATTGTGGCTCTCAATTGCTTAATTGCTCAATACTTCACCACTCCGCAGAACTCGTGAAGAAATCTGGCGATCCTTTGATGTGCGCGGGACCTCCGAGGCTTTTTTTTTCAGCAGCTCCGGCAGGAAACCAGCAAATCGTGCACTCCCTCGCCCCTTTTCTCTCGTTCCGAGCTCCGGCTTGCTTCGCAAGGGGAAAAGATGATCTCAAGTCGAAACGGCACGCAAGAATCCTCTTCGGCTCGAAAACACAGCCTTTCAGACTGGTTTCACAGGCACAGAAGAAAAAACTCAGGAGCCTTGCTTGAACACCATTAATCCAATTGCGATTTTAAAAGACAAAAAATATTTTCTTTCTACCTTAGAAAAATCTTAACACACATTGAGTTGCTTTTCACTCTGATCTCATTTCTGGCATACTCTTTGCATTTAGCACAGCAGAAGCTTCACTGGCGCCCATAACCTTTAGCCAGAACATGGCCCCCACCCCCGCTCATTCCATTTGGCTCTGCTCTGGCGAGGGCCAATGCAATCAATAGGATGGGGCACCCAGTAAGCAATGCAGAAGAATTGGGATGCCGAAATTAAAACCAACTAAATACATGAAACAAAGATGAAACAAAGCATAAATATTAACATGGCATATTAAATGATGCAGGGTAATACATACAGCTACAGATGGCACGTACTATACAAATTAGTGTACTCCTTTATTCAGCATTCTTCCTGAATCAATTCTGTTACAATAAACCCATATTGACCCCACCCTACCCCATGCCCAAAGCGGGAGGGTTTTTGCCACCTCATCCCGTGTGGCATGTCTGCAGGCCAGTTTGTCCCAGTCGTAGAAACATAAAAACACACAGCCAGAATGGATTCCCAAGAATCACCTCCTAGCCCAACCCCTCTGCACCGTGCAGGAAATTCACCGCTACCTCCCTCCCCACTCCCCCCAGAGACACCCCCCGCCCGGGACGCTTTATGCCCAGAGGAAGGCAAGACGCCCCCAGCATCCCTGGGCCCATCTAGCCTGGAGGGAAATTCCTTCCCGACTTCAAAGCTGCGATCAGCATTACCCTGGACAGACGTGAGAAAGAAAGGTCCCCGAGAGCCAAGCACTGGCTCATCCTTTCCTGCCCTCTCTCTCATGATCTGCCTAAATTCATAGTGAATCACAGAATCAGAACTGCTGGTTTCTGTATGACCTGTCCTTGTTAGTCTTGGCTTAAGGCTGGTTTTGCACTGCAAGAAGCAGAGGCAGTTCTAGGAAGAAAGGCTGTACAAGACTTGTTGCTTTACAAAAGGAAAGGATGTTCTTTGTTGTTAAAGGAATCCATCCTGAGAGGGTGTTGGGGTATTTTATGAAATTCAGCAGAGTTAAAAACAGCTTAGTGATGCCAGAGTTCAATAATCAGACCCAGAGTCCATGTGTGTTTAAAATATAAAAGTTTACTACAATTCTACCATAGGGAAGGGTAACTTGGGAATAAAATAACAGCTATATAAGCTACATCCTCTCTAGACTAGAAGAACTGTAATGGCACCTCTCACATGCTCCTTCTCCAAGACGAACAAAGAGGGGAAGAGGGGCCATAAAATGCAAAGTTACTAACACCTTGCTCCCAATCAAACTCTCAGAACAGGGATGCTTTTCGCGGGCTTGTGGTCCTGAGCTAACATTGGCTAACACAAAGGCAGGTGATTTTCTGTGACAACAGAACAGACATTTAACCCCATACACACACACTGAGTGTTTTCAACAAGCAAATACCCAACAGAGGGGAAAGACAGAGCAGACACTCTCGCTATTGACGGATGCTAGGATGGAGAGGCATGCCAAGAACACGGCATTCATTCGGAATACTGTGTACAGGTCTGGTTACCACATCTCAAAAAAGATACTATAGCATTGAGAAAAGTGCAGAAAAGGGCAAGCAAAATGATTACGGGGATGGAACACTTTCCCTGTGAAGAAAGGTTAAAGAGGTCTCTTCAGCTTGGAGAAATGATGACTGAGGGGTGACATGATAGAGGTTTACAAAATTGTGCATGGGATAGAGAAAGTAGAGAAGGAAGTACTTTACTCCCTTTCTCACAATACAAGAACTCGTGGGCACTCCATGAAATTAAGGAGCAGTAGGATTAGAACAGATAAAAGGAATTTTTTCTTCGCCCAAAGAGTCATTAACATGTGGAATTCACTGCCGCAAGAAGTGGTGGCAGCTACAAGCATGGGCGGCTTCAAGAGGGGTGTGGAGAAATGGGGACCCGCCCTCAGCCCTGGGAGACTGAGCAGCCGTTCAGTGGCTCACAAGCCCCTGTTTTTGCCTGCCCACCCTGCCTGGTGGGGCTATTTCCTTCCTTCAGTCGCTGCCACCACTCACAGGATTTACACCACCTTCCTAGAGGGACAGTGAGACCCCCTCTGGCTGATTCCCCAACCCTGGGAAGTGGATACCTTAATCGTTGGGCGCTCCCTGGAGAGTTGGCAACCCCTCTGATTTGGGCCTGTTTGGCTTCCCTGGTCTTCCTTTGCCACGTGTAATGTGCTGAGCGGGGAGGACTATGTGGTCAAAGCACTTCCAGGTTTTATAGTTCAAAAAGAAGGTTCAATTAAATTATGTACAAGGCTAGGCACAGAAAATAACGCAGGCACTTCAACACAATCGGGCAGAAAACAAACAGGATCAGACTGCAATTCCTCCGTCCCCGACACTCACCCTGATCTTTGCTCTAACTGCCTCCGTGGTGGGTGGGTGGCTGGGTGGGTGGCTGCAGGACAGGATTCGCTCTCCTCCTGTTTGTCGTGGTGGGAGGGACACTTCAGCCCTCCCCTCCGGGCTGGTCACCAGGACTGCTGGTGTTCCCTATCTTAAGCCTCTTCGGCCTGCCTCCTATCCCCAGCAGGGGTATACTGCTAGGCCGGTGAGAGCCCTGGGACCGATGACGGTTCCGCAGCAGGGCCCGTAAAACGGAGCTGTCCCGCCAGGCCTTTGGGTGAGGCTGTGGGCGTCCAATTATCCCGCCTACCGGCCTCCCCTGCCGAAGCGTTCCACCTTCGAACGTTGCGCCTGTGGCCTAGCGGCTCCACTTTCTGTGGCTACCGTACCAGACTGCCGTGCCATCTGTCTTCTTTATAGCTTTGTTTTAACCTGTTTTAGCTATTTATTGAGGAAGGTTTAGTATGAAACATTTTAATTCTTATTGTGAAATGTTTTCACTCCTGTTGCCATCCGCTCTGAGCCCGCTCATGGGGAGGGAGGAATATAAGCCAAAATTAATAAATAAATAAAAAATAAAGTTCCCCTAAGCGCTATGTAAACTCCAACCGGGAGACTCATAGATCAGGCAGCAGGGCCTGCCGCAAGGAGTTATGTCTCTCTGACCTGGTGTCCCATCCACAGGGATGGAGAACTTGCACGGCGTGCGGGGTGGGTGGGGGAGAATCTGGGTCGCATCTGCTCTGGAGAAAGGGGCACTTTGCCCAAACAGCCAAGGGGGACACAACAAGCGTGGCGATGCCATACTGAAAACCCTCCTCTGCTTGGAACTCTCGCGGGCTTTCTCACCTCTGGACACAAATAACAATCGGGGTCTGCTAGGCACCCCACACAGGTAAGCATGAGACCGCCGGGGGTGTGTGTGAATCCCTGCCTTAGAGCTGCCAACTCCAGCTAGGAAAACTCCTGGAGATTTGGGGGGGGAGGGGAGGGAGCTGAGTCGGGATGTGATGCCGTTGAGCCCGCCTCCAGAAGCTCCCCCACTTTCTGCAAAGGAACTCGCCTGTCTAGTCTGGAGATCAGTTGCAAGCAAGGCCAGCAGAACTCCAGCCTTACCGGGCGGCTGGCAGCCCTCCTACTGTGTGGCCGGTGCTGCCATGAAGCCATTCCTGAAGACTCTTTAATACGACCGCCTTGCTGGACTGTGCAGAGCGTGTGCCGGGGCAATGGACAGACCTGTGGTCCTGAGCGAAGGGCCCAGTGCAGGACGAGGGACTGTACACTGTGGCCAAGGGAAGCCTCCTCATGCCCTGCGAAGTATGCCAAGCCAGACCTGGACCCAGGACTACGGAAGCCTCCTGCCCCTTTGCACCTCTGCACCTGCACGAGGGCTACGATGCAGACCAACAGCCCCTCGGCCTCCATGAACACAGACGGTCACCAGAGGGAGAATCCATGTGCTGACGGAGGACAAATGTTCCCACATAGAGGCCATGAAGAGATCTCTTCTCCATCATGTAGCACATTCCTCTCCCCTTCCTAAGTCATTCCCAAAGACTGTTGCCCAGGTAGAAGTAAAAGACGTGATTAAGCCTTCCTGCCACCGATCCAGATTACATCTCTGAAAAGCTTTGGATTGTTAATGTGGAGCACCGAATCCATGGATTCCCCTTCCTTTCTCTCACCCCAAGAGGTGTCACTCCCTGCTGCACGTCAACCCCAAATTGCCTAACATCATTTCCATCCATACAGGACCGACTCGATCACTAGGCAAACTAGGCATTTGCCTAGAGCGGGCTGGCCCTTAGGGGTGCCAAACTGCCCCCGGCCCCCCCAGAGAGGGCGGCGGCCTCACCTTTGACGACCATCTCCTGCGTGGGTGCAGTGAGGCGGCTCCCCTTCGGCAGCAGGGTGTGAAGCAGCACCTCCACCCCCTCGAGCCGGGCCAGGGGTGTGGAGAGGAGGCCAAAGACATGGCACTCCCAGCAGCACGAGGGGCTGCACAGGGCCTCCCAGGTGACATCCAGTGCGGAGGCCACGATCCGGGGAGGGGGCCCATCGCCGCCACCACCGTTTTCCTCCTCCTCCACCGCTGAATGCCGAGCGGGACATTGCGGCCTGACAGGCCATGCGGAAGGGCACCAGGTGGAAAGGCCTGGAGGCCAGGGTGAGGAGAGCGACGGAACAGACAACACCCCGCCCCTCCCGGGGTGGGTCAGAGGAGATCCTCCGAGCTCTGCTCCTGGGCACCGAAAAACCTCGGGCCAGCCCTGCATCCGGAGATATTATTCTTTGTGTATACATTTCCTGGGAACCCATGACCACCTGGCTATGGCCTCTGGTCACAAATTGGCTACTTAAGGTGAACTTTCCCTGAGCTCTCTTTCTTCTCTTCACTCCCTATCCACCATCCTGGTTCCCTTCCTGATCAGTTTTGAACTACTCCGCGTGTGTCGCTGGCCAACTCATGCCCCATTCCCTCCCCACCTTGTTCCTTTTCACTGCAAGAGTTGTTGTTGTTCAGTCGCACAGTCGAGTCCAACTCTTCGCGACCCCATGGACCAGCTCCCGCCAGGCCCTCCTGTCTTCCGCTGTCCTCTGAAGTTGGCTCAATTTCATGTTCGTTGCGTCGCTGACACTGTCCAACCATCTCATCCTTTGCCATCCCTGTCTTCTTTAACCTTCAATCTTTCCCAGCATCAGGGTCTTCTCCAGTGAGTGCTCCCTTCTCATTTGATGGTCAAAGTATTTGAGCTTCAGTTTCATTATCTGGCCTTCCAGGGAACAGTCAGGGTTGATTTCTTTGAGGATTGACTGATTTGTTCTTCTTGCAGTCCAAGGGACTCTCAAGAGTCTTCTCCAGCACCATAGTTCAAAAGAATCTATTCTTCGGCGCTCGGCCTTCCTTATAGTCCAACTCTCGCAGCCATACATGACTACTGAAAGACTATTGAAAGAGGTAGTCAATCTTTAAAGGTACAATTGTGGTCTTAGGGTACTGTCTCAGTGATGATCTGGTTCTTATAGATCCACATGGGTCAATGCAGGGGTAATTCATGAGGACAACCAGATGGATTTCACCTAGAGAACTGGTGTTGAGTAGTGATGGGCATGAACTGGGAAAATGTGGTATGGTTCATGGTATGCCAGCTTCATGAACCATGAAACATCACAAATAAACCAGTTTCATTTGTGAGGTTTGTGACATGGTAGAACACCCCTCAGCATGATAGAGACACCAAACTCACAAGGGATATCCGGCTAACCCTCCTCTACCTACATGCCAAGGTTGGTGAGGATTGAATTTATGGGGTTCGAGTTATGGCTCCCCCAAAGAAGGTGTCCCCAGGAAAGCATTTTCTGGGGAAATGACAAGCACAGGTTCATGAGGGTCAGGATTGTATAGAATGGATCCTGTGCAAATTAAAGATGCCAAACATGCAAGAGATCTCCAGATGACTCTCCTCTACTTGCCCTCCAAGTTTGATGAGGATTGGATTTATGGGGTCCAAGTTACAGCCCCCCAAAGAAGGTGCTCCTATGGAGGGAAAAACAGCAAAAAAGCAAGGACAACAGAAGCCATGCAGAACAGAATCGAAGTCCCAGAGAATCTCTGCAGTAGAAACTGAAGGTTGGAGGCATTTTTGCAAGCCCAGCAGAACCAGTGCAATGTGCCCAGCAGAACTAGTGCCACTGTGGCACTGTGAACCCAACAGGACTAAGGTCAAGTCAGGGAAGTGTTTTTTGGGGGGACATGTCAGACACAGGTTCAAAAGTATATAGAATGGACCCCCTGCAAGTTACACACACCAAATGCACAGGGAACCTCACCCTGCCACCTGCTCTTTTACAATCTCTTCAAGTTGGGGGTGGATTACATTTCTGGCGTCCCAGTTACAGACTCCCCCAAAAAGTCTCTCCAATGCTCTTTCCAGAAAAGACAGCTGCAGTTACAGGAGTCTATGGAACAGCTCAGAAATAAGACAGCAAACTCACAGGGAAAGTTCACCTGGGCAGACCCCCCCATCAGACAGTGGAACCAAGGCAAGCATCCCCCCTATGCTTGCAACCCCC